CCGCGAAGTCGGAAGGCAGCTGCGTGCCGCCCTGACTGCCGTAAAAGAAGCCCTCGGGGCTGCCGTCCTCTGAGAACGCGTGGCCTGCCCCCGCCCGGCCCGGCGCTCCGACCTCGGCAGCCGGGGACGACGAGGAGGCTGCGGAGGGCTGGGGGCCACCTTGGCTTCCCAGACGCAGGAACTTGTGGGTGAGGTCTTCCACAGCGTCCAGGGGCGACCTGCGGCCGCTTTGATCTGGGCTGGACGTGCCGGACCTGTCCGCAGAGCTTGAGGCGGATGGAAGAAACTCTAAACTACCCCGGAAGAATCGATCTTTACTCTTGCTTCGACCTCCATGCGCCCTGTCTCGGCGCTGTAAGGGAGGAGCTAGGAAAGGAAGGAAACAATGAAAATCAGAGCTGACGTAACTGAGGTCTCACCACCACTGTTCCTCCTAGCTTTTCCAGGTTTGCGACCCATGTTCTCTCAAATTACATGTCTTAATATGGTGTCTAAAAACCCTGAGAAGGGTGATCGTGGCGATGAAGGAATCCCGCCATTCTACCAGCACAGAAGAAAACACCGTCCCACAAACCGGGAGAACCCTGGCTCTTCTCAGCCTCTCTCCTGGGGCTCAGAGATAGCCCCCGAGCAGCAGACTCTCAGGTGGGGCTGTCCACCATCCCCTGGTTCAAGTCACCTCACCACTGTGGTGAAGGGAGAGGCAGACTAGTGCAAATCAGCGAAGATTTTCCAAAAATCATCTAGATTTTGCCCATGTTGTGATGTAGCTGTCCTTAACAAGTAAGGATTCACAAACTTAAAACAAACAAACAACAAAAAAAATTGAAACTACAGTCTAAAGGTCTAATTTCATTTAAACCAGAAAATCTTCCCAAGTTCTTCCCCTACAAATGCCCAAACTTAAGGGAGCGATATTAAAAAGAGCTGGCCTCTCTCTAGAAGCTTGATGAGTCACACTCCCCAGGAAGCAAGTGAGTGAGCACATGTTTTTGTGAGTGTGTGTGAAGTGTGTGCATGTGATACACACGAGCGTGAGGTTTATATGTGCATGTAGGATGTGCATGTGTAGCATACATGTGTGCAGGGAGTATGAGTGTGTGAGACAGGTACAGTCATGTGTGTGATATGTAGCTGGTATGAGTGTATTCATAGGTAGGATACGCGTGTGTGGTGTGTGCAGTGTGTGTGACTTGTACTATTACGGAAAAAGGAAGAAAAGTCCTGTCTTCCAAACCCAAGAGGCAGCAGGATATAGTAAAAGCAAACCTCCTCCTGTCAGCAAAATAATTAAGTAGATTAACTACAAGTAACAGTAAAGATCTCTCACACACAGTAAATTCATATTAGGAAAGTACATCAAAAACTATCCCTGTTTTTGTACCCCTGAGGAAAGAGCATCGTAGTATGAGAGAGAAAACACTAGATGTGGAGTCAGAACACATGAGTTCTGGTGCTGTCTACTGGTGTGAGGCCTTGAAAACATTACTTTTATGTATTCATAGTATTATCCTTCATTCTTCGAAAAATGATTTAAGGCTACTTGCAATAAAAGTCCCTTAAAATTTCCAAGACTGATTTCCTTGCCCATTAAGTGATAATATACCTGCCTTTCTTCATGGTTTTACTATAAGGAACAATGACAAGATATTTTAGGTATTTTAGGTGAAAGTCCCTTGTCAACTATAAAGCATTTCTCAAATATAAGGAGGTGTAATTGTTTATACCTCTTACAGAATCTTAGAATTATATATTCTATTTACTTACAAAATTCACCTCTTCTACATTCATCTCATAAAGACATTTAAAATTGTAAGTGTTCGTACTAGTAAAAATATAAAAATGCTTAAGAAATAGTACTGTTCACTTCATACCCATTATGGCTATTATCCTCAAAACAGAAAATGACAAGTGTTGGCGAGGAAGTAGAGATAACAGAATCCTTGTGCATTGCTGGTGGGAAAGTAAAATAGCGCAGCCACTGTGGAAAATGGTATGAAATTTCCTTAAAAAATTAAATGTGGAATTACCACGTGACCCAGCAATTCAACATCTGAACATGTACACAAAAGAATTGAAAGTAGGGTTTCAAAGAGGTGTTTGTACACCGTGTTCACAGCAGCATAATTCACAATAGCCAAAAGGTAGAAGCAATCCAAGTGCCCATCAATAGATGGGCAAACACAATGTGGCACATACATACAATAGAATATTATTCAGCCTTAAAAGGAAGGAAATTCCTACACAGGCAACAACATAAATGAACTTTGAGGACATTATGCAAAGTGAATTAAGCCAGTCACAAAAAGAAAAATGCTGTATGATTCCACTTCTATGAGTAACCCAGAGTAGTCAATTCAGAGAAACAGAAACTAAGATGGTGATTAACCAGAGCTAGGGGGAGGAAGAAATGGGGCATTATTGTTTAATGAGGAGAGAGTTTCAATTTTGCAAGATGAAAGAGTCCTGGAGATTGGTTGCATAACAATGTGAATATACGTAATGCCACTGAACACTTAACAACTGTGAAGATGATAAATTTTAGGATAAGAGTATTTTTACCAACAATTTAAAAAATTATATATATATATATGTATACATATATGTATGTACATATATATATATATACATACAAACATACACATACACATACATATATTCTTTTTTGAAAAGAAAGGAAATTCTGACACGCTATAACATGGATTAGATGAACCTTGAAGACATTATGCCAAGTGAAATAAGCGAGGCACAAAACGGCAAATTCTGTATGATTCCACTTCTATAAGGTTCCTAGAGTAATCGAATTCATAGAGACAGAAACGAAAGTGATGGTTGCCGAGGGCCGAGGGGAGGAGAGAATGGGGTTATTGTTTAATGGGTATAGAATTTCAGTTTGGGAAGATGACAAAGTTGTGGAGATGGAAGAATGTGGTGCTTGCACAACAGGGTAACGTACTTAATGCCACTGAATTGTCTTAAAAATGGTTAAAACAGTCAATTTTATATTTTACCACAATTTAGAAAATAAAAATAAAAATTTTAAAGAAACAGTACTGAGGACAATAAATTAAATTGTATGTAGTTTGACATTAATGCTAAATTTCCTGTATTATTGTATTGTGGTTATGTGAGAGATTGGCCTGGTTTCGAGGTGGTACACACATATTTATGTTTGCAGCTTCCTGATGACTGACATCGTACGTCAAATGCTTTAACCACAGAAATGTATGTGTGTGTATCTATGTGGACATGTGCAGGGAGAAAGCGATAAAACAATTGTGACAAAGTGTTAACAGCAGATGAATCTAAAAAATTTTATATATTTTTTTCATTAGGAAAAAGCTGTGTCAACTAGCTTTTAGAGAAATGATAAACATTTTTAAAAACCTGGTGGGGGGAATACTGCTTAGCACGAGATTCAAATCACATAATCACATATACACTGTGATTACAATTATGTAAAGATTGTGGACAAGGTCTGAAATGGAAAATGGAGTTTTACATGGTGAGGTAGAGTGAGCTTCAGTAAAGTTATTTCCTCAGGATTTCTGTTTATTTCTGTCAATCCTATTAATAAAAAAGTAGGACGAGCACTTACCTCTCAACCCGTAGGGTTTCCTGAGGTTGTGTTTGTTGTTGCAGATGTCCTGAATGTTCTGGACCACTTCTGCGCTCAGTCCGTATTCCCTCATGATTGCCAGTACCTTTCTGTCCATCAGGTTATGGGACCGGATGCAGTTGGCGTAACCGCAGTTCCCTTGGGTGAAGTGCTCACAGATGTGAAGCCTTTCACATGGTGACTGCTGGTTACAAATCTGCCTTCGACCTTCTCCCTTATAATTTTTGCATATCTACAGAAGAGAGAAAGAATAGTGAGAGATAAAACACCTTTCTGTACTGGCAACATAGTCACTAAGGAAAGTTTAAATATCCAAAAATTTCTGAAGCAAGCAGAGATACACCAAAGGAAAACAATGCATGTGTATTTTACAATCTTTGATGAACTGTATTCAAGTGATCATTTATTTGAGACAGAAGAGGTAACTGAAAGTAACTGAAAGAAACATGAATTTGATAACCCTTTGGAAGAATCAAAATAAGGTGGCCAGCTACAGATAGGATAGGACCAAACAGGACCCAAAGTGAGCCCTACATTATAAGGGTACCCCAAAGAGGAAGGACCACCTTTGGACATCATTCTACTATTGCAGGGACAGGGTCTTACCTGCAACTGCTGAAAATCCAGATGCTAGTCTCTGCTAGGCAGAACATGGTAAAGACTCTCCAAAGGGTAACCAAAGAAGACGATTTTTATATTTCCATGTAAATGTATATGTATCTACATATCTAACTCTACAGAGATGAGATGTAGTTCTTACCAAAAGGAGGGCAGAAGAAATATTACCACTGAGGCCAGACCATGTAATGCAGGACTAGAAGATGTTACCTTAAGTCTGCAGCCCTGGAACCACCTCACCTGAATTACTTACTTACTCCCAGCCTCCGTTTCCTTTGCTGTAAAGGAGACAAATATTTGCTCTGTCTACCTAAGCCATTGTTGAGCAGATGAAATATTAAAATATGTGAACGTGTTATGCAAAATATAAAATGCGATGCGAATGTTTGAATCGCTAACCTGAAGAACTTTAAAGATCAAAACATTTGCAAGCTGTTTCAATAGACCGAACAAACTAGATCAACATGGTTCACTGTGATTTATCTGTGCAGTCTCCCAGTCTGTGATCTGAACCCTTAGGCAAAGACATAGATTCAGACTCTAGCAACTTCTACAACCTGATTCAAATAGATATCATTGCTATAGAGCCTATTATCCAGATTCTGATTCTAGACCAGCATTTGTCAAAGTGTGGCCTTGGACCAGGAGCATCAGCTCTACTTGGAAACTTATTAGAAATGCAAACCCCATATCTACAGAATCAGAACCACCAGAGGTGGGGCTCAGCAATTTGTGTTTTAACAAACCCTCTAGGTAACTCTAATGCACAATAAAGCTAGAGAACAAGGGTCCTAGAGGCTCTAGCATAAAAAGAGCAATTAGTAACTTCACAAATGATGCTTTGATTGACATTCCTATTACCGTACTGATGTTTAAGTAAGAATGCTCCCAGCCTTAATTAGACCAGCACAAATGAAAGCATTTCTCCCTTTAATAAGCATATTTCAACTTTACAAG